CACACAACAATCTCTATAGTTTACCCAGAATGGTGCGACAAACAATAAACATTGAGTAAGCGACAGTTCTGTGGGTGGAAACGCCTTATTGATAAGAGAGATAAGAGGAAAATGGCCAGATAGGTTCAAGCTGCCAGGAAGGATATAGTAACTCATTTAATCATTCTTTACAACTCTGGTGAGCAGAAAAGCATCTCGGCATGCACAAAACATTGAATCTTGAGGTGGATGGGCTACAACAGCAGAAGACCACATCAGGTTCCACTCCTGTCAGCCAAGAACAAGAATCTGAGGCTATCGTGGGTGCTCATCCAAATTGGACAGGTGAAGAGTAGGAAAAAAAAAATCACCTGGTCTTTTTCGATTTCACAGATTGGCCTTTGTAGAACAATGCAAAGTCAATCGCTGGGACATTCCACCCCTAGGGTGCTGCTGAAGCATCAATAGTCTTCAAAAATCTACTTGTTTGTTACAGGGCTGCTAGTAACATGGTTGATCCAGGCTACTATTAGTCATTATTCAGTAAAGGAATCATGTGTCACTTTCAACATCAAGACTAGCTAACTTTTAAAATAAAGAAAGAAATTCTTTAAATTAATATTATTTGTAGCTATAATCTTAGCAACAGAGTTGAGTTGAGAGTTAAACAGAAGAGAGTTGCTTGGATGAAGTCAAGCAATGCTGACAATATTTGAAAAATATGGCAAATAGTTGAAGGGACTTACTTTTCTCTTGGCCATACTGTTAGGAAGGGTTTTGATGATGAAAATTCCTGTTTGTTGTATGTTATTGTTTTTTACTCTTCCTTTAGCTGGGTAAATGGATTTGAGTAACACATTGCATGTTGGACATGGCTTAAATGTATAATTATTATTACTTAAAATAAGTTACATTTTCACCGTTAATTGACACATTTAACAATTTGACCATACATACAGTCTGCTACACTGCATTATGGGGCCAAACACAGGTGCAGGTAGCCTGGTGCAGGGATGCCACACGTCTGTTTGTCTGTGACAATGAGTGCACATGGGGAAAGATTCTCAGAGCATCCCGAGCTTCATTGGGCTTTGAGTAGGCTACTGAGGTTCAAATACTGAATGCGGTGTGTGGGCACAGTTAGTGAAGGATGTGGGGATTCATAGAGAGGATGCAATGTCAGTCAAGGGCTACTTTATCTTGTCCCAGAGGGCTGTTTGGACTCACTAATGAAAACCTTACTCAATAATGATTGGTTCGGCTTTGGCAAAGAATTACCCAGAACTGGTACCTCTGGGTGCGAACGTCATTCTCTTGGGTGTGTGCTGCTTTGTCAGTGTAACAGCTGTACCACTGTACTGACCAGCTAGGTAAGTCACCCTCAGTGAGGCTTATCATTGGAGGTCTCACTTTTGGAGCTTCATATAGCAAGCATAGAGCATTCTTTTAACCTTGTGCCACTCTGGTGATTTGTCAGAATGGATCAGGATCAATTCTAACCGGTTAATGTGCCCTCTTGAAAGAAAAACTTGTGCCTCTAAAGAGTTTGGAGCCCATGCTCCTCTCACTGAGATGAGGATGCATCTCTGTCTGCACCTCTTCCTTAATTCCACCAGCTGTTAGGGAGGGCTAATTTTGCAGCTGGAACTAGGCCTAAACTGGTAAGCATGACAAAGTTTGCCACATGTTGGGATGACAGGGTGGCTAATATTCCCACTGAATCTAGCGTCATGATGAATCATATGGTCTGCCTCAGCATTAGTGATTGTTCCTATTACGGAGCACCATAATGTATCCAAGAAGCGTGGCCGTGTCCCACATGGGCTGCTCACTGATGGAGGCCTGTCGGAAGTTACTGTGCAACTATGGCAGTACCCTTATGCCTCTGGCCATCAGTGGTGACAGGGCTGTTTGCATGCCATCTGTTAGCACCCTCAGCTCTAGAAAGAGGCTAGAGGGTAAGACATTGAATTAAAATACCTGTGTGAAATAGAATGATGTGACCCACTCTGTGGCTGCACAGCATAGTTAATATCTGATAGTCTTACATAAAAAACAATAGGGATTTAAAAAAAGAGGCATGCTGTCCTTCTTCTGAGCTTGGAGAATGGAGTATGCATGCACAAAACAATTTTCCTGGAACAGAATGGCCACTTGATGAGGTTGGAAATTTTTCAGTCAAAAGTGTCCTATTGGCAGCCCTAGACTATCGGTGCTCTAGACTATGGTGTGAGAGGCAGTGCAGCAATATTTATGAATGAGTGTTCACTGCTAATGCTAGATTATATGTATACTGTATATACTGAACTGTATATATACACACTGATCCACATATTTGATTTGGCACAGTTTTTATGCCGGATGCCCTTCCTGATGCAACTCTACCTAATTTTATCCGGTCTTGGGACTGGCACTGGGAGTGCACTGTCGCTGGCCGAGAATCGAAGCCAAGCTGTGGCTAACCGCTGGTCCTCCAGGGACCGTCTCAAAAACCAATCATGGCCACTAAAAATATATTTTGTCATCTTTTATGGCATAAACCAACAACTGATGGTAGATAGCTAATAATGTCATGCATTATGATCCAGTTCATTTGCCTTTGACGGATTGTGTTTTCCTTGCTATAATGCATCTAATGAATTTATTAGTCTCATAACTGAGTGTTAAATCGGAGATACCACTTATCCATCTAATTTTGTTGCCAATAAACATTTGATTGTGTTCATCACATTTAAATGTTGTAGGTTAATTTTTTTTAGAATTCAGGTAGTATATCACACAGTTTAAAAAAAAAAAAAAGTTTCCATCACACAGTACATACATCCTGCTCACCTCTCTAATGTTTATGTGCTAGTTTGCTCTATGCTTACTCTGTGCTATCTTGACAGCCATATATTACATGCTTATGCAGGTGGTTGTAAATCACTTTTTATTGTCATTTAGCACACATTTCGCTTCAGGGTAAGCAATCAAAAAAGTGCTATACCTCATAGTAAATCCAAATGTATATGCAAAAAAATCATTGCATTTCATTAGCAGTGTTTGTGCGGATGGTGACATTGAAATGACACTGTAGATGGAAGAAGTGCATTAATTATTAATTTCCTGTCACATATGTCTTACTAATCTAGCATCAGTAGTACAGTGCTACAAATAAAACACAACCATGTGTGCAACATGATTTTACGGATGAGAGAGGGACCAGGCATTTGCTGCAAAACACTGCCCCCTCTCTCCAAACCACAGAAAGGCACCTAATCAAATATTTGCTGCAGCAGAGGATTTTTAGTGTGGGAGCTTCTTGTCACTGCAGTCACCTCTAGTCATCGTCAGTGCAAACAAGGTTGGCATAGCAGGACTGTCAGGTGGGGCTTGTATTGACACCTAGTGCTATGAAAAGTCAATCCGAGCAGACAAATGCTGCTGCTGTAGCACAGGCGGGTGGCTCAGGAGTCTGTGTGGTGCATGGCCAATGTAAAGGAACCACATTGCTATGTAGTGGCAGTCGCCTTAGGCTTGAATACATCATCCCACTTAGGACTGAGGGGAATTCAATTTGTCAGGTATTTAAAGGACACCAGTCTGACTATTTGGTATTTAAATAAATCCGAAATAAACATTGAAAATATTTAATCAACACAAAAAAAAGGTTCCATCTACTCTTGTGCAGGTTTCTTTTCCTCATACAAATTTAGCCTGCTCGTGCACAAAAAAACAGTATGTACTCAAAATACTATGTCAAATGGTCACGTTGTTGAAGGTCTTGGCATGAGTGTATGCACACAAGAAGATATCCAGGTAAATCTCACTGTTCCTGCTAGTTAGGAGGCATAAAAGAGACTTTACAGGTTCTCTTTAACATCTTTTGGATGTTAGTTGCAACCACAGGAAGGTATGTTGTGTCTAGGTTCTTTGGGAGATGAAATATGTACATGGTGTTCTTCCCACCTGCACTGATAGATTTAAAGTGTTATGTGTTATCATCAACTTCTGGAGGGATAGCCATACAATTCTGTTGTCCTGATCCACATATTAGGAGCAGTAAATCAGTTAAAAAATAATTCCCTTCATCAAATACAATGTCTACATTACCAAGAGCTGTTCTTAGTACTTATACTATGCAAGTAATTAGAAGCTGTGTATAGTTATATGCTAATTTATCACATGGGGATTGCCTTCACTATTGCAGCTTCACTAACAGATATGTAAAATATAAAAAGTATACATAACTGCCATTAACAAGAAACTTTCATATTCCTTAATCGTTTTACTTTGCATCTGATTTTTTTTTTTTATAATTCCTAACAACAATCAGTCACTACCCAAGTAAACTTTCAAAACTCTTCAGTTCCCTCTGAGCTTAGCACATCAGTTCATACTCAAAATGCACTACAACTATCAAATTTCACAAACACGTTTCAAAATAAAGTCTCATCAAAACACCAAGCGCTACTTCTCTTCTAACGGGAACACTTTTTCAAACAGAGGAAAGTGGCCAAAAATGTCCTTATAGTAGGAGCAATACACTGCCCTCCAAAAGTTTGGAAACGCCTGAACAAAATAGGGTTTTTGGGCAATATCAGCATAAATCCTCTTTAGTTAGTGACCATTTTGCATTGATAATAAGGGACAACACAAACTATGAAAACATATTTTATTAAATAAAAAGTTTATGAACATAAACATGAACATAACATAGAAAAATACTCAAATTTTGG